AGCATTTCTTAGTGACCTTTCGCGATTTTGACCACATCTATCTATCTATCTATCTATCTATCTATCTATCTATCTATCTATCTATCTATCTATCTATCTATCTATCTATCTATCTATCTATCTATCTATCTATCTATCTATCTATCTATCTATCTATCTATCTATCTATCTATCTATCTATCTATCTATCTATCTATCTATCTATCTATCTATCTATCTATCTATCTATCTCTCTGCCTGTCTGTCTGTCTGTCTATCTATCTATCTATCTATCTATCTATCTGTCTATCTATCTATCTATCTATCTATATTTCTATCTATCTATCTATCTATCTATCTATCTATCTATCTATCTATCTATCTATCTATCTATCTATCTATCTATCTATTTATCTAAGCTCTTCTGGCTGTTTGGATAGTGGGATCTATAACAAGATTTTGCGGCATAACATGACTGTATGAGCATAAGTAAACAGGGTGGCTAGTTTTTTTAACAACCCTGTTCCCGTCAGGAGACATCTCGTAAAACGGGTGATTAAAAAACTAGCCACCCTGTTTACGAGGTGTCTCCTGACGAGGTGTCTCCTGACGGGAAGAGTACCAGAGTCTTCAGAAGCCTAGAATAGAAACAGTTAGGGATAAGAGTTAATGGAGAGTATCTTAGTAACCTGCGCTTCGCCGATGACATTGCATTGCCGAGTAACTCGGTGGACGAATTGCAACTCAGGATTACGGAGTTAGGCAAGGAAAGCAGAAAGGTGGGTCTTAAAATTAATCTGCAGAAAACGAAAGTAATGTACAACAACCTCGGAAAAGAGCAGCGCTTCGAGATAGGTAATAGTGCACTTCAAGTTGTGAAAGACTATGTCTACTTAGGGCAGGTAATAACCGTGGAGCCGAACCACGAGATTGAAGTAACTAGAAGAATAAGAAAGGGGTGGAGCACATTTGGCAAGCACTCTCAAATAATGACAGGTAGATTGCCACTCTCCTTCAAGAGGAAGGTATATACAGGCTGTATCTTGCTGGTACATAGCTACGGAGCAGAAACCTGGAGACTTACAAAGAGGGTTCAGCTTAAATTGAGGACGACGCAACGAGCAATGGAAAGAAAAATGGTAGGTGTAACCTAAGAGACAAGAAGAGAGCAGAGTGGATTAGTGAACAAACGGGGTTTAAGGATATCATAGTTTAAATCAAGAAGAGGAAATGTGCTTGAGCCGGGCATGTAGCGCGTAGACAGGATCATTGCTGATCATTAAGGGTAACTAACTGAATTCGCATAGAAGGCAAGCAGGTTAGGGGGCGACAGGCGGTTAGATGGGCAGATGAGATTAAGAAGTTTGCGGGTATAAATTGGTAGCAGCAAGCACAGGACCGGGTTAACTGGCAGAACATGGAAGAGGTCTTTCTCCTGGAGTGGACGTAGTCAGGCTGATGTTGATGATGATGATAATGATGAGCATAAGTGGCTAGTCATAACATGAAATTATCACATGTAAGTCATGGTTGTGTTGATATACAAGTCAAAGTCTTGCTGCCCCTGCAGTGGTTTCGCTCACACGACATATCGCAAAACTGATATGGCATGACATTACTGCATGGCGAACATATGTAACGGGCCCTCACGTAGAAATTATGACGTGTGTGATGTAGGAACATGACTACATTCCACGTTCATGATGCGCTTGCGGTTGTTTTGATAGCTCAACGTGTGCTAAATTTGGTATTATGTGACATGAATGAATGATGAAGGTCTATGACTGGTGCGAACATGAGAATAATCACATGCGCGTCATGTAAGGACACTACTACAGGCCACGCTCATAATGCGCTCTTGGTCGTTCGCTAGCTTCACACACATAAAACTTGGTAATATATGACGTGAATGAATGATGAAGGTATATGACTGGTGCAAACATAATAATCATCACATGCGTGTCTTGTAAAAACATGACTACATGCCAAACTCATGATGTGCTCGCGGTCGGTTCGCTAGCCTATACCAAAGTTGGCATTACGTGACGTGAATGAAAGATGAAGGTATATGACTTGTGCAAAACTGATAACCATGACATGCTTGTCATGCAAGAACATGAGTACATGCCATGCTCATGATGCGTTCGCGGCTGTATATCTACCTTCACGTACACCAAGTTTGGTATTACGCGTTGTGAAGGGAGGTTGAAGATATATGACTGGTGCAAACATGATGATCATCATATTCCTGTCATGTAAAAACGAGACTACATACCACGCTAATGATGTGCTCGTGGCTGTTACGCTAGCTTCACATACAGAAATTATCGTAATACGTGACGTGAATGAACGACGAGCATGAATTCCAGGCACAAACATGATAATCAAGACATGGAAGTCATGTACGGCATAATTTAAGTCCGCCTGGTAAAGTTAATTTGTTTTTAATGCAGCATTTAAACCTTTCTCAATCGTCTTTCGCATATCATCGATTACCACGGTACGTAGGATCTACAAGTTTTTCTTCAAACGATTCCCTTATTTTGTGTTTTAAATAAATGTACGATTGGGAATGGTCAGGCTTCTGTATTCGAATAGAAGTTTGCCGGACCTTGCTAGGCTGCTGTGCAATCTCTAAGCAATGGTTCTGTTGTAGTTCCTTAGCACTCTGGGACACCACCTCACCGCCCTTAAGCTTTTAACTTCATCCGACTCGTAGCTCACATGGCCTTCTTTTCTTAACTGTTTGTAAGAAAAAGAAACGCCTCGTTCTGTTTCGAACTTCTAACCTTGCGTCATTAAGCTAAATTAGTGCTAGGATTACCCTCCTTTTCACGCATTTATCTTCTCCTAACGCCTTGCTTTCTCGCTCAAATTTGACATTGTTGATTTCAAAGTGTCCGCAATGTCAGAGTTTTGCTTACATCGAGAGGTAGCGCTGCTGCTTTGGTGTTTCCTGTCAACTTACGAGTTTGGAGCCCGTGTTTTGCGAACTAATCGGCTACTTCTATAACATTGTTACGTTGAGCGTCTACATCGTGGACGGTTGGAGTGCATGAAAATTAAACACGATAAGTTTCTAACTGTGAAACATTATACAGGTGCTACCTTGCTGCATGTATCTTATTTTGTACGCGTTTTGGAGTTATATAGATATAGAAGTAGACAGTTGTCCTCAGTCGGGGGTCAGATACACGTACTCATATTTACATCTACGGTTAGCCTAATAAGGTTAAGAAGTGAATGAAAAGGTGAGGAGCAAAATATTTCTAGTTCTAGAAAGCGGCGAAAGGCAAGAAATTTCATACGAAAGTAATGACTTGTTTGCATCGCTCACCAGAAAGCATTAGCTTTAATTGCTAGACCCGGACGACCATGACTCTCGGCACAATACTTATAAACAAGGATAACTCCATGCAACACGTTCCGTGAATAACTATTACACATGCCTCAACGGTTAGGTGCGTTTCTCTGCTACTGTGCCTGCACGAAACTGTTATTTATGAAGTTTTGGTTCGCACTTACACACTCGACAATGCAAATATTGATGAGATGGTGAGCCTCTGTTTAGCGGTTTCTTGTGTTCCAACAATATCTGGTTAACACATCGTTGCGTCTGTCGACAAGGAGGCATCTGTAACCAGCAGAAGGCCTTCACACCGCACCTGTATGGCTATCAGTGAAACGTTTGGTGTATTTGACAAGACAAATATCGCTTCGCTGATTGTCTCTAACTCACCCATTTTTTCCTAGTACAGCGCACAAATCTTAACTAGCTTATTGGAAGCCATAAAAGCAGCAATATCCTGCATCTACTTCCAATTTTTATTAACTTGTAACACACTGAATGTATGTACAGAATACAAGTGCCACGTTTCCTTTTTCCGTTCGTTTTCTGCAACCATACTTCTTAACAAAACATATTTTTTAAGTGCTCTGTGATGGTAGCCACTGCAACGTGAGCATAATATACACCCTAAAGACACGTGACTTTTGTATTAAAGCTCACATTCTGCTCGCACAAAGTCGTGAGAGACGAGTTGAGGCGTGAGATTACTATACCGGTTTTCGCAACCTTAGAGGGTATTTACTATAAGTTTAACTGTGATTTTACAGATATATGGGAGAATACTAAAAATATTATCTGGGTTTTTACGTCCAAAAAGCACGAAATGATTATGACAGACGCCATCATGAAGATTGATATGTTGGGTTTAACGTCTCAAAACCACCATATGATTATGAGAGACGCCGTAGTGGAGGGCTCTAGAATTGTGGCCACTGCGTCCGGGACCAAACCGCTGATATCATGAATGTCATGCCTGATTTCTCTAGAGGTAACTTCGACAATACTAAGTCAACGTTAACACTTTGGAAGATATTGCGTTTTTCAGAGTTTTGTTAGGCAAAAATTATAAATGAGAGGCAGAATATTGAATCTGCGTACGAAACTAAGGTTTTAAGCTCAGTTTGTTTATGTAAGCCTGTTGACGCCTCACCATTGGAAAGTTCACAACAAGAATTATATGCAGGGCCTACACAAAAATAACGTTCAGGAGCCCTAAGCACCGGAATATTTTGTGCACAAGCGTAAGCTTTTGTTTTCCGACTGCCTAGTGGTTGATTGTCGACGTTTGACGCTGAGAACGTATCGAATAAAATAGTCTACAGTGGTGGCTTTTCCCCTCGCAAAGACACAGGCTTTGGGGTGGTGTTTCTGAGATGTAGGAAACAGTCGAGTTAGGTTGCCGCCGGCACTATACAAAAGTTCCGGAGCAAATAATGCACGCGACGCATTTCTACTAATATTTTCATCGGCTCACGATCTACTCTATTTTGATGGTAGAGAAAATACAGTACGCGAAGCCCTCTTCACATAATGCTCATTTTATACCAGCTGTCGTCCTATTGCTAAGCTGCGCTTCCGCTTCTTAATTCGCATACGGTGCACACGCAGACGCCAAGAATCTGTTTCAATCTATATATGCTTCACTCTTTTTCTTCTTTTGTTCGTTTTTCAGGATGGACTTACGTACGTGACAAGTAAGTAATTTTTCTTTCTTAAATTATTTTATTGCAATACAGTGTACGCATCGGTGGGAGTCTTCAGGCTCTTCAAAAACAATTTCACAATTCAAATAGAACAAAGATAGCACAGGGTGCTTGGCTTCAATTAGAAAATATACATATGCTTAGATATTCCTTATTCACTACCAGAAGCACAAGGAATGTATTAAGAAGACAGGTGGTCCATTTGTAAAGGGATGATAGTGTTTTAACATAGATATTTTCTTCTAAATAATCTCGCTGGAAATTTGTTGCTTTGGTTTGGAATGACGTGTTTATTTTCTTCAAATTATTTAGGAAGTGAACGTGGTGAGCCTGGGCCACGTGGTCCTCCCGGAGAACGAGGACCGATGGGATTCCCAGGGCTGAAGGCAAGTACTCATTCACCCGACCAATGATAATTTAATAGGAATATAGGAATTTAATAAGAACCCCGATTCTCGCATTAAATAGAGACTTACTGCATATTCAGGGCCATTTCATGGCAAATAACGTGGTGGTAAAGCAATAGTGTAACCACACAAAAAGCACTCGTTTCTGAAAGTAGAGTACAGAAACGCCTGAATTCTTCCCAATGTAAATCGGCGACTTTCGTACTTTTTAAAAGTAGATTTCGCAAGGGAAGTTGTTGAGTCCACTCAACTTTAAAACGGCAACATTTTTTTCAGGGCGAAAAGGGTGAAAGTGGGCCACCTGGAGCTCCTGGTTACGGCTCAGGTCGTGGAGAAAAGGTATGGCATTATCTTCAACTGAAACATCAGCGTGTATACTACTTATCTCAATGAGTAAAACTTCAAACAGACTTGAAGAGTATTTAGGGCGAAATGTTTTAGAATTATGTATGAAGTCTGTTTTAACAGAGGCGATTTTAAAATGGCTTCCGCTATGTGCTATTGTTTGTTAGTATTACACGAATTATCTGATTTTGGCTAGACAATGAATCAAAGGACCGACTATCGAAACAATAAATATGGTACATATAATATAAAAACTATCCAGAAAACAATCCAAGTATTCCTAAGTACTTTCTTTGATTTTTGAACTCAAAAGCTTTGGCGTCCAACAGAAGGCCGAAGTAGTGGTGCAAGCATGCCGCGCCACATGCCGCCGACGCGTCGTGCACGATGAGAGTACGCAAATAACAAGGCTAGCAGGGCTGCTCTAAGCACAGTCGGAGCTAAGGAAGACACGGACTACACACTAAACTAAATGTCGCCATAAAGGGTGTAAATGAGCTTGTCGCCAGACGAGCACCCTTTGCTCCCTATTGCGTGTTCAAAAAAGGGTGCTGAGAAAGGGTGCAGAGCTCAGCACCTTTAAGAAAAGGGTGCAGAGCAAACATATTAAAGCGTGTAACGAGTGCACCCTTCATAAAAGGTGCTGTGATGTCATAACACTCTTTCAGCTGGGTGCTGGAAGGGTGCTCCACATCGACGTACCAGTGGGCCAAATCTAGGATTGATGCTGGAGATGGCTAAAAATGCAGATTGATGTATACTCTGTAGACCTGACTGAGTGACAGCCCACATACGGTTTGTTAGTACTTGAACACATGTACTAAGTCGTCCATTCCACCCTGAACACGTGCACCATGCACGCGGCCGGCCCTCCACAGAGTGCCTTCCTCAAGCGCTTATGAAACTAGCACTGAAACGCAGTGACAGCTCTAGGTGGGGCCTTTGCATCATCGTCTTTTAAAACACACAGTGTCTCTGCAGTGAAGCTGCTGGTAAGTTGGCTGCAGTGTTTTGCTTTTTCTAGGTGTAGGCAAATAGAGAATCCGGCATTGTTATCGAGAAGTGCTGCAATTGTGCCTTACCCTGTCCAGGTGCTGCTTCTCGGGTTTTCGTTTTTTGCTGCTCTGGATAGAACAAGCTGCACTTACTGCACTTCTTAAGCACAGTGTCGAATTTTAGATAAGCTTGTACTGTTGCAAGAGCAAAGTTAGCTTCACCACAAAGGAAGTGTGATTTGGCGAAGCCGCCGTTCTCCAGCAGTCAACAAAGTGGAGGCCCCACTTACAGCTGTCTGTACGTTTGTGTACTAGTTACCAAAGTGCCCTCAAGAAGCGCTCAGCAGAGTGCCGGATGCATAGTGCAATGTTCAAGGTGGAAGAAGACAATATGTAAATATATACCCTAAACCAAGCTATATTGAATAAATATGTGTGTTTCAATAATCATTGAATTGATCCCACTGTGCGTATATGGCCTGTGCTACCCATTTTTGGTCCAGAATAAATGTCATCTATTCAAGGCCCCTTCCTGCACACATGCATGCACAATTTATGGGTGCTTGGTCACCATACAGACATGCATGCCTGCAAATTAAAAATTCATAAGTTTCAAATACTGGTGATTATTTCAAAAGCCATATACTCACTTTAAAAGACACACAGATAAAATGCACTAAATACAGAACCTTATCACATTGCGCTCTTTTAAATTATGTGTAGCAGACGTGAGCTTTTAGGCATGTGAAATTGCAAGATACTAGGCCCCAACAAAAATTTATGACAAATAAATTAACATGATGCAAATAGTCACTATTTTATTGTACATAGCATACAACTCAAAAAGATTGACAATAGTAAACATGAGGTATGACCTTTTGCATCGATTGTAATGGTGAGATCTGTGTGAGTGAGGATCAATCTTCTGTTTTTCTAATCTTTTTCTTATGAGTAGACATCTTTTCTGTGACGAGACTTCTTTTTTGCCTTTTAACATTCTGACTTCCCTCCTTGCATAGTAGGTAACAAATAAATTATTTAGAACAAAAAATATAGGTTAACGGCACCAGCAGTTCAAAGGCGCTTATTGAAGGTGTTGCCAGTGCTCACACAATTGAAAAAGAAAATGGATAGGAAAGTAGGTGCGTGGTAAAACATGTGGGCTTATATAACATGCTTCGGTCATCATGCTAAAAGCCTTGACTACAAACTTGCTCAAGGCTTATTTATGGCTCTCTCTTTATATATGTGTGTGTGTTTCTAAACTTGTGCGTTACAAATTCACAAATATTGACAAGATAATGCAAGTGGTGCTGGATTATTATAATGTGATCACTCAAAACCTTTCACAATCCATCTTCAGCTGCCCAGGCGACTTTGGTTCCTTTTACAGAAGTGTGGTCAGGGCGCTGCTTCTCTACAGCACATCCGCACTCGTAAGCCTAAAATAAAGACAGAAGTAATCCCCAAGAGTTTCGCAAAACAGACTGTCCAAGATACAATATGCTTTGTCATGCTGAAGTGTTCTTAGTTCTGTGTGAGTGGAAGTCAGCATCAAAATCCGCTCTGTTTCCAACGGAAAACATGCTTGCTGGAGGTCCGCCAGGCAAAAAGCTGTGTAAAAACTTGACAGTACCTGGGGGCCTACAGAGGGTAGCACGTACAACAGATTTCACATACAAAAACAAACAGCATAGTAAAATCAAAATATATATACAATCAACATCTGAGCAATGATTTCAGGGGATCAACTGCTATCATAGTGCTTCACAAAGAAAGCAACGGGATACCAATCAAGAAGGGTGTAAGGCATGGGGACACGATCTCCCCAATGCTATTTAACGCGTGCTTACAGGAGGTTTTCAGAAGCCTAGAATGGGAACAGTTTGAGATAAGAGTTAATGGAGAGTACCTTAGTAACCTGCGCTTCGCCGATGACATTGCATTGCTGAGTAACTCCGGGGACTAATTGCAACTCATGATTACAGAGGAAGACAAGGAGAGCAGAAAGGGGGGTCTTATAATGAATCTGCAGAAAACGAAAGTAATGTACAACAACCTCGGAAAAGAGCAGCGCTTCGAGATAGGTAATAGTGCACTTCAAGTTGTAAAAGACTATGTCTACTTAGGGCAGGTAATAACCGCGGAGCCGAGCCACGAGATTAAAGTAACTAGAAGAATAAGAATGGGGTGGAGCACATTTGGCAAGCACTCTCAAATTATGACATGTAGATTGCCACTATCCCTCAAGAGGAAGGTCTATAACAGCTGCATCTTGCCGGTACTTAGCTACGGAGCAGAAACCTGGAGACTTAGAAAGAGGGTTCAGCTTAAATTGAGGACGACGCAACGAGCAATGGAAAGAAAAATGGTAGGTGTAACCTTAATAGACAAGAAGAGAGCAGACTGGATTAGGGAACAAACGGGGGTTAAGGATATCATAGCTGAAATCAAGAAGAAGAAACGGACATGGGCCGGGCATGTAGCGCGTAGACAGGATAACCGCTGATCGTTAAGGGTAACTAACTGGATTCCCAGAGAAGACAAGCGGGTTAGGGGGAGACAGAAGGTTAGGGAGGCAGATGGGATTAAAAAGTTTTCGGGTATAAATTGGCTGTAGCAAGCACAGGACCGGATTAACTGGCGGAACATGGGAGAGGCCTTTGTCCTGCAGTGGACGTAGTCAAGCTGATGATGATGATATGTTTCCATTGTTATGGGGAGATGTTATACCCATGACAACATTAGCAGTTATTAGCTGTTTCGTAACGATGCCAACAGAAACATGGATATTAGCCACACTAGAAGTGGTAGGCTGGCATGAAGCATTGGTGTTTGCGCTGGCACTCGCGAGAATGGTAGCCATCAACACTGCTACACAAATACTTCACAGGATGGTGCCTGAGTACAATTAACTTTGATTCGACCTCACGGCTGCATCATAGGAGTGCATATGTAATAAAGTTTGATAGCCAGTACTGCAACGACAGTTGATGTTACACAAACATTGGAGATAATTTGGAAAGTATAACCGAGGCCGGGCATGGCTCTGTGGTAGAATACTGAATTGACAAGCTGAATACTAGGTTTCGATTCCTACTGGGACACTTGACTTTGTTCTTTGCATTCATTTGGTGAATGCTGCCTATGTCAGCTTTTTAACATGATAGCGTTGAAGAGCTCGCGTCGCAGAAAACCCGCCGCCGGCGTCTGCCCCGTTGGTTGTTAGCAAAAAATCGTCTGTGCATCTGTGACCAAAAAATCAATTTACCTAGTTTCCAGAAACTCAAGGAATTCCTACTTATGACCTAATGGAGGCGTGCTAATTGCTGCAAAACAAAACCCCCAAGACGTACTACTAGACACTCAACATAGGGCTTAACAGATGGAAGTCCATTGACATCGGCCAAAAATTAACTTTTTATGTACAGCGCTATTCCCCTTACCCCTTTCATGAACCACACAATGCCATGATAATTGTACCCTGGTATTTTTGGTGGGATATATATTGCACGAAAAATACTAGGATTATGTCAAAAGAATGGCATCAAATTTTACCGACATGTAATCGAAATAGAGACACAGGCTTCTAGTCTTATTTATAATGCCAAGAGCATTTAAGGTAAACGCATTGAAGATAGCTGGTGGCCTTTTTCACTATCTAGGTATCAATTTTTCACTATCTAGGTATCGAAATTCTGCCATATCAGTCATAGTTTACCGACGTTGCAAGCTCAAGAAAAGTGTGGCTCTGAAGGCTTCAACACAGCGTTTTGCCAGATCTTCTAAGAAGGCAGTCCTTAAAATTGATAATGTTTCCAATTTTTTTTCCTATAAATTTCGTGCCTTGCATCCAAATGAACCTCCATCCTACTTTTTTTTGCATTCGTGCTCTCACTAACTGCTTACCTTGTCTTGTCAAGCGTTCGTTGACACATAGGACTACTTAAACTAAAACGAAAGGCCACTGTAGAAACACCTAAGTTTTTTGTCTTATCC